CCGACGGGTGCAGCATATTCTGCTTTTACTTTGACATTAATAGGATTTAACCAGTCCTGGAAAGAGATTCAGCAAAATCTTAGGGGCCCCAGAGGAGAAGGAAATGTCATTAACCCTTTTCTTGAGGATGTTATTGGTTTTCTGTGACTTACCATTAGATGAAAGTGACTGCAGTCAGAATATATTGAAGAAGACTGCAAAGTAATACAGACAGCCTGCAACTAAACACACAGCTCACTTCTATCTCTGGCTCAAAAACGCCTGAATGTAATTACTGTAACCTAATCATTAGACAGCCAGAGAAAAGTGAAATATGTTTCAATGTGATGTCAGCCGCCCAGAAATGTTTAATGAGGCACCTGAAAATGCATGCAAATGATACCAGCAAAGAGTCGATAAGGCAATGGCCATTCAAGGCAAAATATGGGACAAAAGTCAAATAGATGATAACCACTCCAGAACTCCTGAAAGGAAAAACAACTCCCACCTCTCTGATCAATGCCATTCCCCCACCTCCATTTCTGGAAACTATTTACCTCAAGAAGTATTTACAAAGAGAAAAAAGTTTCTTGAAATCTGCAGAGTGTTTACTTTTGAAAACCACCTGGCAAAATAGCTCAGCTTTCAATCCACCACCTATGAGCCAGTGTTCTCTTAGATCTGTGTTTATTGGGGGTGGGGGGAGAAATAAGTGAGAGTCCAGATCAAACATGGGATCACTCTGGGGTCACTGGGGGAACACAAGATGACCCTTCACTGGATTCTTGACCTGATGGGCAGTAGTCTGGTTGAATCTCCCCCAACTCTTCATCTCTTTATATATATAAATTTACTTAAAATATATATATACAATTAAGTTATTATAAATTGAAAGTATATATAATTACTTGGGTGCTCCCCAAACATACATTTCTGTCTCTCACATGCTATTCTATTTCTCCTTTCCATTTTTGTGACCAGAAACCTCCTAAACATCTTTTAAAATCCTATCCAGATGCTGCATGGCCTAAAGTCTTGCACATCTGCTGTTGGGGATTGTGGCTCTGTCCCTGACATGTGGTTGATTGCCACCACCGTCTCGACACTCTTGTTGCTTGGCCACTAGCACTCCAGTTGCTCTGGCCCTTCTCTATCTTCACAGCCATTGATTGCTAAGCTATCTGCTGCAGCTGCTAGCACTTTCCTATTAAAGGAAAACTTCCCCCCAGTGATTAAAGCCATTTGAGACCTCTGTCCCTCCTCCCAGGGTAGTTGGGGCAATAAACTTGAAAACCAATCCAGAAAATATTTAAAGGATACTAAAAAATCTTTAAAGCCTATATCTCATAAACTTTGCCAAATGTCTACTCTGTACCTGGTACCCAGCTGGATATGGTAAATATGTTAGTAAGGACACGGCCTCTCCAGACAAGCAAGGCTTAGAGCAATTCAAGAAGTGCTGTGATCATAGAACATACAGGTTGTTACAGGAATTCAAGGAACAGCACACAACTTGTGACATGGGTTTTAGTGCCGGGAGACAACACTGCCTGGGTCTTTCTCATTTCTGCACATCTTCTGCATAGAGGTGCTGACAGCCTTTTCTTCTTTCAGGAATGTTTTTACAGCTAACAGCCTCAGAAGATAGAAATGGTGTCTTCTGCTAGAACACGGGGAAGAAATGTTTTGCACATGAAAGATGTTCACCATTGCTAATTATTAGAGAAATGCAAATCAAAACTACAATGAGATATCACCTCACACTAGTAAAAATGGCCATCATCAAAAAATCCACAAACAATAAATGCTGGAGAGGGTGTGAAGAGAAGGGGACCCTCCTACACTGTTGATGGGAATGTACATTGGTGCAGCCACTACGGAGAACAGTATGGAGGTTCCTTAAAAAATTAAAAATAGAACTACCATATGACCCTGCAATCCCACTCCTGGGCATGCATCTGGAGGAAAACATGGTCCAAAAGGATACATGCACCTCAATGTTCACAGCAGCACTATTTACCATAGCCAAGACATGGAAGCCACCTAAATGTCCATCGACAGAGGAATGGATAAAGAAGATGTGGTACACACACACACACACACATATATATATATATATATATATATATATATATATATATATATATGATGGAATATTACTCAGCCATTAAAAAGAATGAAATAATGCCATTTGCAGCAACATGGATGGACCTAGAGACTGTCATACTGAGTGAAGTAAGTTAGCCAGAGAAGGAGAAATATCATATGATATCGCTTATATGCGGAATCTAAAAAGAAATGGTACAAATGAACTTACATACAAAACAGAAACAGACCCACAGACATAGAAAACAAAATTATGGTTACCACTGGCGGAAAGATGGGGGAAAGGGATAGTTAGGGAGTTTGGGATTGACATGTACACACTAATATATTTTAAATGGATAACCAACGAGGACCTACTGTACAGCACAGGGAACTCTGCTCAATGTTATGTGGCAGCCTGGGTGGGAGGGGAGTTCGGGGAAGAATGGGTACATGTGTATATATGGCTGGGTCACTTTGCTGTTCACCTGAAACTATCACAACATTGTTAATTGGCTCTACTCCAATATAAAATAAAAAGTAAAAAAAATGCTCATTGTGCAGAATAATAAAAATCTTGTCTCCCTCCTGAGCAAAAATCAGGCAAGTTTCCTTACAGTCCATTTATTACGAAAGACTGGGGTTTCCTAAGCTCAGGGTTCCTCAGCTGTGAAGCAAACCCAGTCCATGTGCAGCGTCCAGGACGCTCTGTGCCATCCCTGTGACTTTGGGGACAAAAGGAGCTGACACAGGCATGAAGCTCGTGCTGCTTGCTCTGTGGGGAGTAGTAACGTCCTTTGTCTCTTACCCAGGAGTGTCGTGTCTTCTCTTCTCCCAGCATCCACAACACTGCACTGGGCTGAAATGTTAGCCTGAAAGGGTAAAATCTAGGAACCTTCACAGTTCTTGACATTTAGAAGGGGTCGTAGAACTATTTTGTGGGTCCTGACACCCACTTGAGCTAAGACAGGCAGGCTTCATGTAATTTAACCACAAGGACATTCTAGAAGACAAAGTGAAGGGCACCATGGACAAGCAAGAAAGCATAACCATACAACGCATTTAGGAAAACCCAAGTAGAGCAGGTTGGCCAGATTATCATCAAGGGTTTTACACACAGTCATGAAACTAAATCAATGCATTCAGTTTGGGCTTAGGGTTCATTTCAAGTTAAAATTTTTAATAATATTAAGCACAGTCTTTGAATTAGCTAACACAGTACTTCCTAAACTGATGTTAAAGAAAAACTGTTCTGTGTAGTTTTAATTGGTGTTCCAAGAAAAACAGACTTTCCTTGCACAATTAAGTTAGTTTGTTAACTGCAAGCAAAGTTCAATAGGTTTTTTTTTCCCACTGAAGCATCCCCAATACTTTAACATGGCAATACATATTTTGAATAACCAAAGGGAAGACTTAGCACACAGCCTAGTCCAAGCTAATCTGATCAGATGTCCTTTGTTTAGGGAACCCCAATTAAACATTTCCCAGAATGATTTTTCTCTTCCTGCTGATATGAGTAATGTTTGTCTAATCCATTTAAAAATCACTATAGCCTTATAAGCAAACACACAAAAATTATAATTGAATAAAATTAAACTTTGGTCAAATTTTCTTTTAAAATGTGTCCATGGGGTTAGGATTCTGTGGTCCTAAACCCTCATGACCTAAAAAAATTAAAATTTCATAAAGGCTGATGTGCATCTGTTCTCTGCTCTAATGACCTACAAATTAACAAATCATTCTATTAATCGCGCGAGTTAACTAACCTGTTCCAAGATCAATTCACATAGTACTAAATATATATAGTATATGTCAATATATCACAACTGAACACAGCAAGTTGTGATCTACCCCGTACAATTCAGACGCTATATACTTTGCCAAAGAATGCACTTAGAGTTTCTAGGTCGTTGAAAATAGAGCGTAGTATACTTACATTATTTCACTGTGAAAAATATACAATATATATAAAATACTGTGTGTATTATATGCGTGTATATGTATCATATACATACGTTTTGAAAACACCTATGCAAGTTCTTTCAACTCTAAAACTAAGAGGCTTAGAAAACCAAGTAGATAGCCCTCCACGATGACAAAGTTGATAGCCCTCTGATTTTTAGACATTTTACAGCTGAAATAATGGATTAATCACTGTTCCAAGCACACACCACAATATAAAGGTAAATATCATTTCCTTAAAGTTGTAGGGAAAATTGATATTTCCCACACTGAAAAGCTCTCTTGACCAAAAATATTTGCAAGATTCTGTCATCATCAGCTTCGATCTATTGACGAGCAAAGATCCAATGTGCTGGCTTTCTTCCATCTGTAAGGTCACGCCTGAATCCCTCACCCCTAGTGTAGAACTATCATACGCAAGACCTCCAATCAATATTTATTGAATCCATAAATAAATTTTTCACCTTGAAATTGATAGGACAACTATATCATACAATTTTAAGTACATCTGTTGATTTCTATGAACTGCTCTATCACCAATCCAGTTAATTCAAATGGATATAAAAGTTCATTAGAAAAACAGAGAAATGTAAAAGAAATGTTTAAATGGTTTGTCAGAAGCAATGATGAAATTACTGAAATCCTGAGTATATAAAAAAGGAGAGTTAAACAAAACAATGTAGTAAACATAGACAATATTCTGCTTATACAGATGTTTCATTTAAATTGAAAAGCAAACACGTTTGTCATTACAGTTTTTCTTTAGTAAACTATTTGACAGAGTTTTACAATATTCATTTATTTGGGCTCTTTGGGCTTCTTACAGCAAGTAGTGCTTATTTCATAAATCCTCTGGATTTTAGCAAAGTAAAATTTTGTCATGTTAAATGTCATGCAGAGAAGTCAGAAATTTATGGTGAAATCAATAAAAGATTTGAAACCACACAGGTGACTTACCTGTCCTTATGTCTGAGTAACTTCCAGGTCTCCTGGGTTCATGGGCTTTGTTCCTTCGTTTCTTTGTTAGTCTTGGTGTAGCCAGGATAATCCTCAACTGCAAAGTCTCTTCATCAATTTCCCGTATGAGGACTCTCTGCCACACACATCCCTTAATTGTTAGTGCTTATTAGACTCGCATCGAGACCTTTCCTACAGAAAGATGAAAACAAAGGATTCCCAGCCTCAATGAATTTATTATCTATATGAGAAGACAGTCATATACAAAACTAACCGTTCTATAGAATGAAATTCGTTAACTCATCCATTCGAGTCTTGATGGATTCATTCAGAAATGTTTATTTAACATGTATTACAGCACAGGTTCTGTGGAAGACACCACAGGTACAAAGACTAATAAAATACCACAGTCCACACTGGCAGGCTTCTCCCTCCCCTTACGTTACCTCTACTCTGCTCTAGTCCAGGCCCTATAGCTCCTCAACAACTGGAAAAGACTACTGTCTACAGTTTTCCCAAAATCTCCAGCCGAAAGACAGCTGTTCAATCTTCCCAATGCACAAATTTGTTTAAGTAACCCCCCTCTTCAAAAGCTTTTAGTTCCACCCCATAACCCATGGAGTAAACTATAAATTCCTTAACTGACAATAATTTAGGGACCTCACTGTCTCGGCCCCAATCTATCTTTGCAGTCTTAAAAAACAAACATATCAAGGAGTGATTTACATGACACCAGTCCTTTTGCATATAGCATTTCATGTACATTACCCGAGCCTTTTCACATATACTAACTCCATGACAACAATGGAGATTCACAGAGCACTCTTGTATGTTCCCCCCAAACATTTCCTTGGCACACAAAAGACTTGATTTCTAAGCTCCAAATATCTAGGTGGAGCCACGTGGCTAGTTCTGGCCAATGGAATGTGAACAGATTTGGGTTTTGTATAGGCCTGATCCCTAAGAGATCTCCCACACTCTCTTCCTCTCTCTTCCCTTCTGTGGCAAACTTGGGGGTCATAGGTTAAGGATGACAGCATCCCAGGATGGAGTGCCTGAAAGTCATCCCCTACCCCACACTGCCTCACCGCCACCCCCCAAAACCAAATGGACTGGGATGTTAGGAGACACTCGATTTTCACTGCTTTAAAAATCGCTGAGATTTCCAGGTTTATCTTTGTGGTGTAAGCTATTTATTCTGACAATGCAGACTGAAATTAATTTGATATCCTTTTAGAAATGAGAAAACTAAGATTCTGAATGGTGAGTGACATCCAAATTCACATGGCTAATAAGCAGGACTGTAAACTCGGGACTTTACTTTCTGCGATGGTTCATCTTATGGGTCAACTTGACTGCACTAAGGGATACCCAGATAGCTGGTGAAACATTATTTCTGGGTGTGCTTGTGAGGGTGTTTCTGGAAAAGATGAACATTTGAATCAGTAGACTGAGGAAAGATTATCCACACCGGTACGGGGGGCATCACCCAATTCGTTGAGGTCCCAGGCAGACTAGGACTGAGACTCCCACCACCAGCTTTCCTCATTCTCCAACTTGCAGACGGCACGTCGCGGGACTTCTCAGCCCCCATAAGCGTGTGAGCCAATACCTATAATAACACCCTTTCAGCTCGTTTAAACTTCCCCGTCTCATTGTTCCACTCTTCCTCCACTGATGCAGTGATGCCCCTCAGGCATCACTGAGCACCAGCTAAACTGAAATGTTTTCTGTTCAGTAAACACTCATCACACTACCCCAACCTCCAGCTTTCATCCACAGTGTTGTCCAGGGAATAAGGCTCTTCCTTCATAATACATGCTTCAAAACCTACTCATCATGGTCTGACTCCAACTCCTTCCTTAAGGCCCTGAACAGAGGAATGCCTCACCTCTGTGTCCACAGAGCACCTGTCTGCCCCTTTCTTACGGTTCCTGCAATGTCATCCACCTGTATATATTCTCTCGCCCATTGGTCCAAAGGCTTTTCAAGGACAGAGACCATGTCTTACTCTTCATGGTAGAACCCACTCTGTTGAGCCCTGTACCTTATGTATGAGGTACTCAAAAATGTTTGAACTGAGTTAAATTCATATTTTTAAACTTTTATAAATGTTGATATATTTTCTACTTCTATTAATTCTTTTAAACTACCCCATCCCCAAGACATAACATACAAGATATTATGACACTTTTTTTTGAGAGTGCTACCTTAGTAGTTGCATTTTAAAGATAAAAGAATCGAAAAAGACACTATAGGCAGCATTGGATTTACATTGCCTTGCACGTAAGTCACTCAATAATCATGTTGAATGAATAAATGTGGTGGTTTAACTGTTTAACCTGTCATTAGTACCTACATAGATTTACAGTGAAGGTCAGCAAAAGTCACTTCTGATAATAACACAGAAGAGTGATGTTTTGCAAAGGATCTTCTGGACATGGTGTCAACTTTGATCTCCTCTTTAAATACAGGACATTAGTTCTAGTCTTTAAAGTGTACTTTGAAATCCTCTGATCTTCTCTAACGAGCCACTTGATTATATAAGCTTTGCTTCATGTTTCAGAAATGAACCCGCTGTGTCTATGTTCACCAGAGATGGACTCAGGATATTTGAGTAGTGGAGCAGACAATTAACAAGCAGTTATTCTTGTTTTACTTTTGTTACCACAATTCAATTCACTTCAGTTTTTACCTACTAAAAAAATTACACAAATTAGAGCGTGTCTCTAAAAATGAATCGCTTCTAAATAAACCTTAGATGCAGTTAGAATTATGATACTTATTATGAAGAGCTGTGTCTCCTTCCATTTGGCGCTAGTGACAAAGGTTAAAAATGCCCTCCTATAAAATACCGCATAATTAAACAGAGCAATTTTGTAATTACCCACTACAGAACTGGATAAATTCCAAGTTTCATAATTATTTCAACCTACGGATGAGCCACTTGTGCAAAAAAATAAGTCCAAAGGATAAAAGAACAGCATTTCTCTTCAGTACAATTTAGTTTCCTTCCCATTTCTCTCAAGTTGTTCAGCTACTCTTCTAAAAAAATTAAAGTAACTAAGAGCAAACAGTTTTCTGCTCCTTGTGTCTCACTCCTCCAGCAACGATGCATAGTTATGGGTATAGAATGTCAGTGTTTCTGCGTGAGAATTGCTGAAACCCAACACCAGAAATGAGACGTAGAAGTGGTGCGTGGTCTATTGAAAACTCAACCCCCGCCATCAACAGGTGCAAGAATGATGCCTAAGGAGATGTTGAGGGAACTCATTATAGTAATCTGATAGAGACAAAACTCTGTTAAAGGCAAACCCCTGTTTCCCAGTCGGATCAAATTACACACCAGACAGGCAATTCCCACCACACCACCTTCCTTGTGTTGAGCTTCTGAAAATTTCAATCTAAGCTATACACTATCCCCTCAACTTCTTGAAGTGCCAAGGGGACAGGCTCTCTCACCAAGCTCCAAATATATGTCCAGCTAACTCAGGGTCCAGCCCCACTTCCCCTGTCAATGGAGGACATTGCCTGTGGGTAATTCTATAGAGGGAATCCATTATGCACAATCCAACACACCCTGAGGTGACCAAAAAAAAAAAATCTTTTTTAGAAACCCTCAGAATTTCCAGGTCACTGAATGAATTTTAAAATCACAGTGATGATCAAGTACTTTCATCAAATACCTATGATATACCTTAGGCATTTTGCTGAGTACCAATGCTAACACCTTGGCCAAATTTCACCTTGAGAAGGTACCCTTGTTAACCATTCAGTCGTCTTACTCTGAAGTAGTATTCCTGCCTTAGGCGCAGACCACTGAATAAATGTTCCCAGATGCCAAGAGGCTGGGTGGGGTTACTATAAATGAAAAATCTAAAAAGTGATGACATCTGTTGAAGTTGGATTCAGATCTCACTATTAGAGCGTGATAATCACCTTCCCAGGAGGTCACGTTTACCTTCTAGAAAAGTGCAAAACAGAATACGTTAAGCAATGATTCACAAAGTCCAAGTTCAACGTCCTTTAGGGACTCACCTCAGTCTGAGCATTCAGACCAAGGGAGAACAAGGGTCATTACGTGAATATAGTGGTCCAGGCAAAGTGGCCTGGATTTGTCTTTCAGCCTCCTCTCTTTCTGAGTTTTTGTATAAAAATATAGGACTAGGGGGCTTCCCTGGTGGCGCAGTGGTTGAGAATCTGCCTGCTAATGCAGGGGACACGGGTTCGAGCCCTGGTCTAGGAGGATCCCTAGTTGCCGCGTAGCAACTAAGCGCGTGAGCCACAATTACTGAGCCTGGGCGTCTGGAGCCTATGCTCCGCAACAAGAGGCCGCGATAGTGAGAGGCCCGCGCACTGCGATGAAGAGTGGCCCCCGCTTGCCACAACTAGAGAAAGCCCTCGCACAGAAACGAAGACTCAACACAGCAAAAATAAATTAATTAATTAATAAACTCTTCTTCTTTAAAAAAATATATATCTTCTTTAAAAAACATCTTCTTTAAAAAATATATATATATGGGACTAAATGATCTGATCACTACACAAATTGAGCACCCAGTGTAAGTTTCAACTGAAAACCACTTGGAGCAATTTTAGATTTATACGCTATCTGTACGAGAGCGTGCGCACACTTAGTTTGCCACACACCTTTCCAGGTGTTTTATAAAAAGTTATCATTTTTAATCCCTATGACAAGTCTTTGGTTTTTTGTTTTTTTGTGTGTTTTCTTTTGCATGAGAAGGCTGAGGTTCTAAGAATTTAAGTGACTTTGTCAAGGTCACCCAATAAGGAAGCAATATAACTGAGCATCTGTCTCCACAGCCCATGGTCTTTCTACTAAGTCATGTTACCTCCATGGATTTTAAGTTCAAAATGCTGAGTTTATGTTTCTTAACCTCTAAACCTTATTTTCTTATTTGTAAAATGGTAACATTCCCAGTCACACACGGCTGATAACTGGCAATGAATGATAGGATTTGATTTTTCCTTCTCTTTCCAACATACCACATTCAAAAGAAACCAAACATTTGGCCTTCCTCTGCCACTACTTTTCTTCCTCCAGTCTCCTCCTTCTCAAAACTTGGGGATCATCTTGAAGGCATGTTTCCTCTCAGTGACATACATCTTGCACTTCAAAGAGACCTGGTAATTCTACCTTCAAAATATTACTCAAAACCATCACTCCTCTCCACCCCCAGCCCTACCCCTCGTACTGGTTGCCATCATCTACGGCTGAGGTTAAGTGACCTCCTCCATCACCCAAACCCTCCAACGGAGTCAGAGGGACCTTTTGGAAAAAGAAATGCAGGCCAGGGGCTTCCCTGGTGGCGCAGTGGTTGAGAGTCCACCTGCCGATGCAGGGGACGCGGGTTCGTGCCCCGGTCCGGGAAGATCCCACATGCTGCCCAGCGGCTGGGCCCGTGAGCCATGGCCGCTGAGCCTGCGCGTCCGGAGCCTGTGTTCCGCAACGGGAGAGGCCACAGCAGTGAGAGGCCCACGTACGGCAAAAAAAAAAAAAAGAAAAGAAAAAAAAGAAATCAGGCAGTATTACCTCAGTACTTAAAACACTTTGGAGACTTCCTATTTCAAGATCCCTGTGATCTTGACTCCCAGACTCTCTCCTAGGCTTCTCATTCATTCATTCTGTTCTTCAGATGTATCAAGTCCTTTCCCACTTTGGGGACAGCATACATGCTGTTCCTTCCGCCCTGAGCACTCTCTTTCATCATCCCACTTCGTAGAGACTGCCTCGCTGGAGACGATTTCCTTGCCCCTCCACTCCCGTTTAAATTGGGCTCCCCTCTTACCTCTTTCAGAGTTCCCCTCATTCTTTCAGCTGCAATAACAAAGAGATCCAAAGAAACAACAGCTGAAACAAGGTGGGAGTTCATTTTCTCTGTCACATTAGTTCAAAGCTATAAGGAGATTCTGTCATCTTCAAAATGCAGCTTCCGTCTTGAGGTCCAAGGCTGCCATTTCAGTTCTCATCATCTTCCAGCAGGAAATAGGAAAGGGCCAGAGGAAAGATTTCTCTTCAGGACACGCTCCAGAAACGGTAAAAGTCAGTTCTGTTCATATCCCGTCGGCCAGAACTTAGTTATTCGGACAAGCTATAAGAGATAACAGGCGTTTGCTGGTGTTTCCCCCAAAAAACTCAGGCATTCTATCATTATATGTTCTCTTCACAGGATTTATTTCAGTTAATAATTACTTATTTACTTGGTTCGTGATTTGTTCAGTGTCGCTCTCCCCCTGTTAACCAATGTTACTTCTGGCTTCCTAACCAGAGAGGCAAGTCATCCTTCTTTCATTCCTCAGCCACGATGATATCAATCCCTTCTTTCATTCCACAATTATTTGAACATCCACTCTGTTTACTCTGCTGGCCACCAAGAATACAAAAATATATAATATAATCTTGTTTCCCTAAGAAATCTCAAAGTCTATTTGGGAGACAGGCTAGAAAATAAACAACTGGAATGCAGCAGAACAGGTGCTATAAAATAGATATGCTTAGAAAACTATAGGAACACATTTATTGAACACCTGTTGTTACCTCATTGCATCTGATATTATTATCATCAGATTATCTGAACTTTAAAGACAAGGAAGTTGAAGCTTAGAAAGTTAAAGTAATTTGCCCAAAGTCAGACATCTTGGAAGTGAGAAAGTAGAATTGCAACTCAAGACTATCTGATAACGAACTCTCTTTCCCATCAACGAGCGCTAATGCAATTCTACTTTATATTCTAATGCAAGTTCTTCTCTTAAGGTGGTTCCCAGCTCTGCCTCTGCTTGTCCACAAGCACCCAGCTCCAGTCAGGCCCCTACCGTGTCCTCAATGCTTTAATGGAATGGTCTCCTATGCTCTTTGCCTCAGTGGAGGAACCCTGTCACTGTGGAAGGTAGACAGCACAGAGAAAGAACACCTGTGTTTGCTGGTGTTCCAGTTACACATTGCTGCAAACTACCCCATAACGCTGTGGGTTAAAACAACTAGGTATTATTTTCTCTCATGGTTCTGAGGGTTGACTGGGCTCAGCTGGGTGGTTCTTCCTCAGGGTCGCTCATGCAATTGCAGTCAGGTGCTGGCTGGGCCTGGAATCATCAGAAGACACCCTCGCTCACCTTTCCGGTGCCTGGACTAAGGTGGCTGGAACAAGTGGGAACTGGGCAGACCTGTCCTTGTGGTTTGCTCTGGCCACCTCACAGCATGGCAGACTCAGGGTAGTGCTGGGCTTGCCACGTGGCAGCTGGCTTCTGCAAAAACATGCTTTCTAAGAGGCCAGGGAGAAAGCTTTAGGATTCTTTTGATCTAGCCTTGTAAATTCCAGAATGTCACTTCTGCTCAATTCAGATAAATCGAATAAAGTCGAAACCACTAGTCCAGATTCCAGGGAAGGCAAATTAAACTCTACTTCTCAATGAAAGAAGTAGCAAAAAATCGGTGACTTTCTTAACTAACCTCATGTGGAATGAGACAGATCTCTGTTCAAATCTCAGCTTTGCCACTTACCAGCTGTATGGCCTTAAACCAGTTACTTAACCTCTCTGAAAACAGTGTTCTCATCTGTAAAATATTGAAAAGAGTATCTATCTCATTGGGTTGCTGTGAGAATCTAATGAAATCCAGTGTGTAAAGATCCAGGTACCAGGCAGGTAGGTGCTCCGTAAATGTTAGTATTCTTTCCCCATCATGATCCACCCTCGCTCCCCAGCAGGTGGCAGAATAATTTCCATAAGCGTTTGTTAAATGAATGAACAAATGAAACTATGCAATTCATAGAGCTTCCAAAGTAACCTTCCAACACACTATTCGTCATGTCACTCTTGTACTTAAGAATGTAGAGGACCTTTCAGTTGCTGCATGGAGTTACCCAAAGTCCCCTGCTGTGCATTCAGGACTCTGGGAACTCGCAACCTCTGCTGTCCTGTGACAGGCCTCCCAGCCCTCTTGCTGGCACAGAGCACAGCACAACATGGTCCTTACAAGTACCCCTCACAAGTACCCCTCACTGGAGCAACTGAAAGAGCCCCCAGTGGGCAAAGTTAAAGCAATCCCAGCAACAAAATGAATAAAGTATCAATGCTACTGGGTTATAACCCAAATTATAAAATAAATATTCATGCAACCTTACAGACATAAAATAAACCATTGAATAAATTAATAACGGGGGAGAAGAGACAAATATCTTGTGCAGAAGAATTCCAAATAATTTATGTAAATATTCCTCCCTCAAAAAATAGAGCATAACTCCCCGCTCCTTAACTATGGGCTGCACGTGGTGACTGCCTTCCGAAGAGTACAATACGGAAAGGGAGAAACCTGGCAATCACCACCACAGCCAGGTAATCAAGGTCAACGTCAACAGCTGTAAGTCATGTTGATGGTATGTACCCTTGCTGTGATGTGATGGGAATAGTGCTTCACTTCTCTGATCTTCCCCAAATCCATAAACCCCGTCTAACCATGAGAAAAACATCATACAAATCCTGAGGAATGAGCACTTGATGAATACTCAACACTCTCAAGGTCGTCAATTACAAGGAACACCTGAGAAACTGTCACAACCAAGAGAAGTCTAAGGAGACATTACAACTATATATGATGTGGTGTCCTGGGTGAGATCCTGGCACAGAAAGAGGACATTAGATTTTTTTAAAAACTGAGGAAATCTGAATGAACTATGGACTTTAGTAATACTAATGCATTAACACTGGTTCATTCATTGGAACAAAGGTATCACAGTAATCTAAGGTGTTAATAATAGGAGAAACCAGGCGACGAGTCAGATCTTCCTCGACTCACAATGGGGTTACATCCCAACAAACCCCTCCTCAGTTGAAAACATTGTAAGTGAAAAATGTATTTAACGCGTCTAACCTACCAAACATCACAGGTGAGCCTAGCCTACCTTAAACGTGCTCAGAACACTTACATTAGCCTACAGCTGGGCAAAATCATCTAACACAAAGCGTACTTTATAATAAAGTGTTCAATATCTCATGTAATTTAGTGAACACGGTACTGAAAGGGAAAATCGGAATGGCTGGCTGGGTGCAGAACGGTTGTAAGCGTATTGGTTGTTGACCCTCGTGATCGCGTGGCTGACTGTGATCCAGGGCTCACTACCGCTGCCCAGCATCATGAGAAAGGATTGGATCACATGTTGCTAGCCTGGGAAAAGATCAACCTTCAAAATTCAAAGTATGGTTTCTACTGAATGTGTATTGTTTTTGCACCATCGTAAAGTTGAAAAATCCTAAGTGGGACCATCATAGGTAGGGGATCATCTGTATCTGGAAAATCACTGTATTTTCTTCTCAATTTTCTGTAAATCTAAACTTACTCTAAAACCTAAGTTTCCATTGGAAAAAACAACAAAAACTAGCCCTTGCTGGACAATGTCCTCCTACCCATTGCACAGAAAAGACTGATGTCTTCTATGGCTCTAACATAGTGGTCACAGCAGGGAAGGCTCAGATCCCGTAAGCTGACCTGTCTTTGTATCTGGGTTGAGGTGGAGTATGGTCTCCATAAATGGGCATCACGTCTTCATGCTAATCCAGCCCAATTCCTTCCTTTTGTTCATGCCACGAGCATCTCCCAGTTCCCTAAGTTCAAGACTTCAGAGTCAGCCTCTCCTTTTTTGTCCCATTTTCTAAGCCCCGTCGCTTCTAACTCATCATTTTATCTCAAATCCAGTACATCGACTCAACACCATGGTCTAGTTCAGGCCCTCAGCATCGATCATCCACACACCTTTATAATTCTCCGTGCCCCCAGCCTCTCTCCAGTTTCAATCTGTCCTCCAACGTCACCGGAGGTAGCTTCTCCAAACAGGTATTTCATGGGGCCAACCCTGCTTAAACGTTTCCCACTCCTTTCAGATAGAATGCACACCTACGAGCACTCACAGAAGATTCTGTACTCTCTGACCCCAACCCACATTTCCACTTCCTTTCCCCACCCCTCCCTCTGATACACCTTACACTGAAGTCACACCAGGCTGCCACTGCACTTCACAAATACATTTTGGATGCCCAGGACTTCGAGCCTTTGCATGTCCTTAGAGCTCCGACAGGAATGCTCACGGCAGAGGATACCTCTGCTCACAGCTTTCTCTCACTCCCCCAGACAGGGACTCTCCCTTACAGCGCCACCCACGTGATTATTCCGATTTCCACAAGAAGAATCTCGCACGTGTGAGGACCACCTGCCACCCACCCGTGTCCTCCACACCTACAACAATGCCTTTCCACGATGGGAATTCATGTGCGTGCACGCTTCCACTCAGCAGCTCCCTGCAGCCCCTCTGGGCCACACTCCCTGGGTCCCCTTGTCGACACCACCCTCCACCTCCCACCCCCATCAGAACCTTCTTTCTGAGATGACCACACCCCTGCCCACTCTGCTGAGGGTCAGCCAGGACTGTCTGCAGCAGAATTACAAAAGACGTGGCACCTTGAGCTTAGCCACAAGGCAAAAGCACAGGAGGCAACACAACTGGTGACTGCCTCTCTCCCCTTAGTAAAATATATTTCCTTGTGTCGCTGACTTGTGTTCTTTGTATCCGGCTGACTCGAGATGGAGCAGCTGCAGCCCTCAAGGGGACAAGGGAAACCATCTGCTTTCCCTAATAACTCTAGCGTTCCCGTGCTTCCTCTCCGACTAATGAGAGCTACAGATTCCAAAAGAGAGCACAGGAGTGGTCCCTGCCCAGCCCCAAGCCCAGAGGCTGGTGTCCCACTAGCCTGGCTAACATGTCAAAGTCTCCTCCTGGCCCTCAGAATCGATGAAACACTCCCCCAAAGCAGCCAAAGATACCATCAGATCACAGGTCCAAGAAAGGAGTAATGAATTGCTTAGAAACCAAATTCATAAGAGAGGAAATTATAAATTTCCTCAAATAAGTCATACAGAAAGTGAAACATGTTCACACAAATTGGTTTTAAAAACTAAGCTTAAAAATTGGGCGGGGGGGGGGGGGGGGGGCTTCCCTGGTGGCGCAGTGGTTGACAGTCCGCCTGCCGATGCAGAGGACACGGGTTCGTGCCCCGGTCCAGGAAGATCCCACATGCCGCGGAGCTGCTGGGCCCGGGAGCCATG